GAAAAATCAAGATTTTACCTATTTGTCTATTCACCTATCATGAGGGTTCATCAGCCGATATTATTAAGTCATTTACGAAGAAGTTCTGGGCTCGAATACAGGCGTTGTCGTCGAAATTTTCTTTGCTAATTTGAAGGTATAATCTTTTAAAGTAGTAGGACTTGAAATGATAGATGGCGTAAAGCCCCCTGCACTTAACATTACGTACAAACTGACTGAGACTTTTTTATCTAAACTAAAAACCTTAATTAATTGTAATATATTAATTGGTCAAGCGGACCATGAAATTAGTGAATTACGTACAAAGTTTCATTATGTTTTACCAATTTCAACTTTCTCCACTGGATTGTTGGAATGTATGGTCCAATTTTATAAATTTAGCCCGTTTTAACACAATTTAATTAAAACAAATTATCGTAAACATTTTTATTAAAGTTTTCATGTCCCAGCACATGTCGAGGTATTTTCTTGACCAATAAAGCCTTCCCTTCGGGCCAACTTTACCTCAGACGGGGGAGGATAAACTTTGGATATTACTTATCTGGTCGATATCTCTCGGCGTGACTTATCGGTTCGACCATTTATTTTTTACCAAAATGCATTCTTTGTATTTTCCACAGCGTCATCTTTTAATTTTTTCTAAAATGAAGCAGGAGGGACCAGTTCGACGGTCGTCGGAGGCCAGCGCCGTTCTATTTCCGGAGGATAAACTGTTTGGAGAATAATATTGACTGGAGCCGTCAACCGGAGATTAAGGGCTTCCAACGTGTTTAAGTCATGCGCGAAATTATTACAGCATTCAGCTATTATTTAAGCACAAGATAAAACGACACTGGAAGGGCCAACACATTTATAATGCATTTTTATAAATGCACGAACTAAGAGGATGTCAACTTATTAAACATTCCTCTATCCTGCGCCTTTTAGTACTCAGGGAAACCAAAATTTCACAGATAACGATTCACTTCATGAAATTTAATTAATGTCAAAGCTCAGCTGGCAAATAAGCCTGTATCTGTCATTACAATTCGTACGCTTTAATTAAAATATATATAATTTGGAATTCAATTTATATTCCAATCATAGTTCAACATCTAAATGAACATAATTCAGTGCTTTCTCATTAATCCGAATCAATTGCTGCAGGGGGTACTTGGATTACAGTAAAATTCGTATTACAGAAGGTGTAAAAACATATATACAAATGTACAAAAAAATTCAACGCAACACTATTATTGCACACAAAAAGCAGTAAACTTATTATAATTCTCTCTCTCCCTCGCCCTCTCTCTCTCCCTCTCCCTTTCTCTCTCACCCCCTCTCTCTCTCCCTCTCTCTCTCTCCCTCTCTCTCCCTCTCTCTCTCTCTCTCTCTCTCTCTCTCTCTCTCTCTCTCTCTCTCTCTCTCTCTCTCTCTCCCCCTCTTCCACCTCATTTTAGAATCGAAAATCACTCAAAAATAGTTGACTATGATCATGTTTACTGTTGGCAATATGAAAAATATCGATTGATCTCCCAGATTTTACAAAAAGCAAGAGACAAAGCCAGACGTCAAGAGCGAATTAGTCGACTGAAATTCGTTTTCCAAATTGTAATAAAAAATGGACAGGATTTGTAAACAAATATATGTAAAGACTAAAAAACAAACAGAACACAGTGGTAAACCAGCACAGTGCAAAACTAATATAATAACTAATAAACAAATAATAAATTATAAATTGATCATGCCATCAAGCTAACAGGTCCAAGCAATATTCGAACGATCTGCCTAAATAAAAATAACGTCCATCGATGGAAATGATTATTGTTAGAGACATCGCACATATAAACTGAAGATTCTGACAAAACGAGGAAGAATAGGAGGGCCAAGATATTTTAGTTCCATCCCTTCCAGACGTCAAAATGTTTTTACTGTCCAATACTTTGTTTTTATTAAGAGTCAAGGCATTTAGGAAAGAAGATGCTAGAAAAATTATTTGACGCAATTTTTAGAGTCGAAAACGAAGTTCACCAACTGTAATCGAAAATTGTACACTCATCAAGTTTTGTCATTCCAGGAAGATAGCTGGATAATATATATATATTATCTATATATATATATATATGTATATATGTATGTATATATATATGTATAGATACACCCAACCGGATGGATTTTATGCTAAATGGTCCAAGACTTATGACTCGTTACGACTGACGCGACTAAGGACGAAGACATGTCGGCGTTGCCAAGGCTGGCGGTGATAAACACAATAAAAGAAATCCAGCGATTACAAACGATTGCAAAGCAATTTAAACAAAAAGAACACTTAAACGTCAATTTAGTCGTGGTACCTTCTACGCGCTGGTTAATATCAATGAAATCAACAATTAAACACGACAAACTTAAGACGATCAGCGATGTTTGTCGATGGGATGAACTTTCTAAAGATGACAAGGGATACTTGAACTTTCACATCAAGAGTCAGGACATTTCAATTTAAATGGTAATCAGTTCACCTAAAAGAAAAATAAGGAATTGAAAGATTGTCGGCTTTTCTACTCTAAACGGCAAATGTCCTTAAATGAAATGCGATTATTTTTTGAAAGGCAAATTGATTTTATTAAATCATGAAAGAAGTTGTAAATAGGTTTTTATATTTTTATCTCAACACACAAACACAAAAGACTTTTGCAAACACCAAGTCTCAATTAGTGATATACATCCGCCGTAACAAAGCGAATTCGATTCTAGCCTTTCATCTTGTCCTCATAGTTAACAAGGCCTGCGTGCAGTACTTAAAAATTGTTTACGATGTTAAAAGAGTGACTCATAAGCACTGGGTCTGAGCATTGCTGGTTTTAAATTAAGGCCTAAAGATAGGGTAAGAGGCGTTTCAACAGCAGACCATGCATTAGGCAATGAGCGTAGGAGGCTCAACAGGTGTCAAGTGGAGAAAGTGGAAGTGGAACTATGTCGTGTTGTTCGGACATTACCATCAACCGGGACTACTTCCGTCCAAGGCTCGATTCTTTATAACTGACGGCTGGTGCGAGTCTTGGGGCCGAACTGCAGAACTTCGGAACATTAATTTAGAAACTTCTGGTGAGAAAAGTTTCGTCGAGATCGATTGATTCACGAACAACACTATTCGGTAGAAAGCTGATATTAACGTCTGAACATGGGCTTCCGTTGCATTTACTTTAGCTTAAAATACGCTCAAATTGAGAAATTCTTCCGTTCCTAAATAAATTTATTGAACTATAAAATTCCATAACTGAATTAAAGATTGCCACTAAAGACCAGATTTATTGTATGTGATTAAAACAAAAAATTCTTGTCTCATTTTTAACCACTGCTAAAGTCTGACTACATTCAACCTACGTCCCTACTTCTAAATCTTCATTAACACTGACGAGTACGAAATAATTTTTACTCTCTTCAAGGTTCATAACACCAGTAAAACTTAAAAATCTGGTGGATGCTAATGCCAGACATGACCATCAGACCTCATAATTATTACGACTACAGTTTAGATAAAACACATGTAAAAATTTGTGTCTAAAGTCGTTCAGATACTAACCAACGTCACGTTCTCCAAAACGTCTGCTTTTTACCATATGACATCTACGAAATTACGCGTACACTCGTCACGGCACAAATCATAGTCACGTCACGGTCAAACCACCCGACAGTTATGATATTACGCCTATAATCGTCCAGAAAATTTCAGCATTAGGTTTGCCAAACCATCTGCTGAATCCCGACCGACAGCTACGACATGATACGAACCACCTTGTAAAAGTTGAAGTTATCCAAATATAAACCACTGTCAGGTTCCTCAAGCCCAGTGATCGTCATTAAATTATGACTACAACAATCGACTAGATACGTAACACTGTCAAGTTTCACACACTATCTGATCAGACTAATACGACTTGAAGACCGCAGTCATCTAGATAGGAATCACTGCCACATTCCTTAAACTACATACATACATGGCCGCTATGAAATTATGCGTCCCATCTTCTAGATAAGGATCTAGAGTTCTCTCAAAATTATAATTACTTATAACCAAACATTTAGGCTACCGAAAGTACATGCTTTACTCTGTCCTTAGATACCATGACTACAGTTATGTAATCAACTGGAATACAAACCAGTTTTTCTAAAACAATCTGTCCATACTATCTGATTAAAACCTGTGGAATTATCCAGTGCGGCATCTACGGCATGATGAATACAGTCGTCTAGATGTGTTCCTCTAACAACTATGTCATCCCTGAGAGATTTCGGCTAGTTGTCGGAATACGATAAACAGTTAGGTTTATGAAATTGCTATCCCATCGGGCAGCTAAGACATGGTCGTCTAGATACAAACAACCCCCTATGAAATTATAACTACAGTTGTCCAGATACGTACCACTTTCACCTTTATCAAACGATTTGGCGTCTTTGAAACTATGACTACCACAGTGGTATGAACTAGAATAAGGTTCCTCAAACCAAAGTGATTATGATTATATTCACATAGATACGAACCACCGTAACATTCCCCTTCTAGACACGAACTCCTTATCAACTTAAGTTTACTGTCATAGGGTTTTACCATCTGACAGCTAAGACAAGACTACACTCCCCTACTACCGTTTTCAAACTATCAGACAGCTACAAACTGATGTCAGGTCCTAAAAACCACATGATTCATTCTCATACTTTGACATTATGATTAAAAACATGTCTGCAGTCGTATAATTAACATGACTACAAACCAATGTTTCTCTAAAAAAATCTGATCATCCTCAGAACGTAAAGTTAACGTGATAATATGACTACAGTCCTCCAAATACGAGCCACCGTCAAGTTCTCCACAAATCAACTGTCAGCTATATAATTATTACTACTACATCAGTCCAGTTATAAACCACATGATACTATAGTCGTCTATATAGAGCCACCGTCACGTTCCTCGAACTTTTTTTTTTTAACTATAAGATTATACATAAGTTTGTAGACCTTACCTCATCGACCTCTTTGGTGAAGTTGACAGGCCGAAGCCTGTAGAGCAGGATGAGTATGTGGACGAAGTTTATGAGAACGAAGTTGGCGTTCCATAAGAGCGCGTCCAAGGAGCATCTGACTGTAGCCCCCCACAGGGCAGTGAAGGCGCAGCCGACTAGCAGCGTCGAACGTAGGTACAGGAGTCCATGAAGGCCCGTCGGTGCCAGATACGACAGGAAATAAAACACGTTGGCGAGTTGAAAATAAATATGATTTATCGGCGACCACGAATGGCATTGAGGTAATGGCTCAAGTAGGAGGAGGGACGAACCGTTACTCCAGACTTCGGCCGAAGGATGGCCCGTCTCATCCAACGTCATCGCCACGCCACCCTCTGCATCACCCTGCAATCAACAACAAAAATAATAACTAAACAAGACGTTCTTAATTAGACGCTTGAATCTGGACCATCCGTACTTTCTCGATTCATTTAACGTTTGAGGCTACCAACTAGGTATAAATTTGTAATAGATAATAGACCCCATTACTGCAGACCGGTCGTGACCCTTTGCTCAACAAACGATTAGACACGCATCACATGATTTCATGAATATCGCATCACGGCTGCCCGGGATAATTCATCAGAATCGAACCAGGACAATAGACGAATCTCATTACGTTCAACAGTTATTCCGAAGATTCATAGATGTTACGTAAAAACTGACTGGCCAAGGAGAGAAGTGGTCAAGTCGGAACTCCGATAAATTTCCACATTTATCATGATGCACTCGAAACCCACAAGCCTCCCCAAATCTGGCTGTAGGCCCACAAAGCACTCGCGAAGTCCTACTTCCAAACAAATTCCGAATTTATAAAAACAAACTCTGGCACGTTCTCGCAGTTTCATTACTTAGTGGATTTAATAATTGCTTCCTTATAACTCATAAAAAATTGTCAACGTTTGGTTTGCTTCAAGGTATAAGTTTCCTTTGTAAAAATATAAATTACACGCTTTTATGTTACAAAGCCCTTCAAGTTTTAACTGAAAACCTTTTGTCGATAATACTTTCTCAGGACATACCGTCCTTGGCCATTGCACTTGGGTGTATTCACACATTAATTTATAGCTTAATTATTTTTAAAAAAACTTCGACTTTTGGAACATTCCCTGTTAAACAATGGATTTAAGATTATTCTGATAAAAGGAAAACTACTCACGTAATTTACACTCCGGAAAAATCTTGTTTCCCACGCTCACTACGCCAGAAAAAATTAAATACTGGAACAGATTATAATAGATAATTCCTGACTTTAAAATTATGGATTAATAAACTAAACCTCAATCCGCGGAATTACAGCGGGATGAAAAACAATTTTCGCCAGAAAAATTTATGTAATATGTAGTTTCAGTATTCTAGAAACGGGGGAAATTATGCTTTCCTCTCACGTCATACTCAGATGCAAGGGCCCTGTATTTTTCTTATTTCGACCTCGGTCGGGGGTGCAATAAAGATCCCCCTGGAGTTCCATCTATAAAGGGTAATGTGTGTTTAGTCATGACTCGTTTTTCCCATTACTTCACTTTTTTTACTGTTACCATCAGATTTTTTTAAACAATTTCATTAAAATTCACCATTCTATTGGAGTTATGGCCGATTGAAGTAAAAAGATCGTCGTACAAACAACCGTGAAAATTAAAAAAATGTTCATTCCAGTCTATACTTTAAAAAAAATTAAAAATATTTAAAGACTTATATATTACATTGTATGAGCAAAATGTGAGGCGTGTGTGATTTTAAGAGTTACATTATAGGCTGAAAACAAAGATAAGTTTGTACATCCTTTTATAACTTTGAAATCAGCGCCTGTCTGTTGATCAACGAACAATTGCCGAGAAATTTGCAGTTTTATTAGAAATTTCTCTTACAACCGTTAATCAACCCTCGGGAGACATGTTGCCAAGGGGTGCAAAGACATCCAAGAATGTTCAGCTGGCCAGGTGCCGTAAAACTTCAGAAAAACTTCACTCATATTAGTTTCAAGAACGTTTAAAAGTGAAAGCTTAAACACAACAACCAAGCACAGGTTTGTCAATAATCTGCAATGATTTTCTGTCGATTTCTGGTTGGCAGCCGATACATTACAAACTTTGTACATCTCAACTTATGCGAGTGGTCCTTTGGAATTGTGCAGTCACACATAATACATCAGGCCATCTCAGAAATCATCGTCTGGAGATATACTGTCATCGAACCAAGACAAGAAAGTTGATAGATGCAATAGAAGTTTCTCTATTCCACAAAACCAGCATTTGTAAGGTTTCTCTGCAGAAACAATACACAACGAGTTATCTCCCTTTTAGTATTATCCCTTTAGCAGGTCATGTGTCTATTTGATCTTTGTCAACAAGGCTAAAGTCTTAAAGCAACTTAATTTTTTGTTAAGTTAGGAAAAATTGTCCAAAAAGTACTATATTTTTTAGTGAGATTTGCCTACAGAAAGTTTGGTCTTTGAACCAACACCAGAAGATAGGTGAAAAAAAGATTTCTCTTGTTATCCTCAGATCCAAGATTTGTAAGGTTTTTTTGCAGAAGAATCCCTTAATGAATTTATCGCTTCAGTAGATCACGTGTTTATTTAATTCTAACATGTCTTACACAGTAAAGCAACGAGGTTTGAGAAGAAAATTCTTTTGTCAAGGTAGGAAAAATGTCAAAAAAGATACTGTTGGTGGAATTTCGAAAGAATGATAAACTTTAAAATGGTTACTGGTACATTCTGAATTCTTCTGAGCAAAAGTTGAAATGACAAATCGTAACCTTGCAGGACTGCAACATGACCACCTTACAAATCATTGCCTACAGAAACTTTGGTCTTGGAACCAACACCAGAAGATAGGGGAAATAAATATTTATCGTGTTAATCCTCAAATTCAGGATTTGTAAGGTTTTTCTGCAGAAGCATCTCTCAGCGAATTATCGCTTCAGATGTCATTGACAACATGACTAATACATAATATAAACCATCGGGTTGAATCATTAGCCGGTTACTGGTAGATTCGGAACTCTACTGAGCACAAGCTGAAATCACACGTGGTGTTTGTGCCGAAATATACTGCAGCATGACACTTTAAAAATCATCGCATAGAGAAAGTTATGTCTTGGAACCTAAACCAGAAGGACATTGAAACAAGGGTTTCTCGTGCTAATTCTCAAAACCGGCATTTCTAACATTTCTCTGCAGAAGCATCCCCCATCGAGTTATCACCTCAACGGGTCACGTGTAAATTTGATCTTTGCCAACATGTCTAACAAATGTTTTTCTATGGATAGCAATCTGCAGAAGAAGCTTGTGTTCAACTAAAAGGCACGTTTTAACCTTAGCTCTTAATATTTCTCATTAATTAGTATGTTATGTTGTAAATTTTTAATTGAACGCAAACAATAGACTTAGTTCTCACAGTGAGGTCTGATGGTGAAGGGATTTCAGAATGAAACGAATTGTTATAGGATGATTCCAAATAATTGCCCACCCGGCCCAATGCGTGATCAAGTAATTCCAACTTTTTACCCTCCTTTCTGTGTTATTATTCGAGTTTCTCTTCGTGGAATTTTAAGGATACAGGCCAATTAATCCAGGGCTATTGATAAAGTTAATTGATTATAAAAAAAGGTGTACCGAGAAAGGGAAGCTTTTCATTCATCTATTAATTATTCCGTATTTTTCAATGAGCTTCGTCGGCCTTTTGTGCAGAAGTACGTTTAACATTTTATTGCCAGCCCTTTCCGAACCGTTTTTACATAAAATAATTAAACATTTTGTACTATTAGAAGTATTTTCATCAGCAATGAAAAAGGAGAAGAATGTGAAGAGAATAAAAATCTCAAAAGTCAAACGAGAACAGGCCTGTTTTGTTTAGCACATTGCACGTTTTAGCAAGGTCTAAAATACTTATCGTGCAACCATGAAATAATTAACAGAAAAACCTTGTATTTATTCGTGATAAAATGAAACACAAATGAACCAATATAGACAAAAAAAAAAGATAATGAACACATAATTTAAAAAATAGTACGTAAATTTTTTCATAGACAAATTTAAATCCTAATAAAGATATTCTTGTAAATCATGAACTTTAAATAAAATCCATTATATTTAGTGGTCTATTGACCAAATTACTTCTTTTTATATAAGGTTTTGGTTGAAATGACAAAGTTAGTGCCACGAGCGGGATTCGAACCCAAGACCTTCGGCTCAATACGCCGCTAGTCTACCACCAACAGCGGCGTATTTAGCCGAACGCCGTGGGTTCGAATCCCGCTCGTGGCACAAACTTTTTTATTTATACAATGCAAAAAAATTTTTTTTATATTCAATCAAAGTATTTCTAGTCACTCAAAGTGTTTTCAAAAGTGTTTACAAAGAGTTTGTTTTCTGCGTAATTGTGCCATTCTTACATGTCGTGTTGGGAGTTTCAGTGAGATATTGCTGTTTTATGTTTATACATTTTTAGTTTATAAAAAACTGCAATATCTCACTGGCACTTTCAACACGACACGCAAGAATGGCACAATTACGCAGAAAACAAACACTTTGAGTGAGTAGAAATACTTTGATTGAATATGAAAAAAAAATTTTTTTTTTGCATTGTATAAATTCACTTTTTTCCACATCCTACATGTATTTGTTAAATTTAAACAATGTTTGTAAATCCCAGGCCCTGAAGATGATCTCAATAAAGATCGAAACGTTGGCACGATAAAGAAAATGTTTTTCTGAAACCTACACCACACCAGACCGCAACTCACGATTTCCGAATAATGAATTGAAGACCTTTCAACCTTTTAATGAACATTTTAACACGTTACATTTGTTGTATAAGACAAAGAACAAAATTTATCTCAAAGGGAGATCCAAAGTTTCCATTGTGTCTTTTGTCTGTTACCAACTTGAACTTAACAGCCTTAGCTTTAGAAAATAATATTAACTCTTGAGAATGAGTATGAGAAAGAGAAAGTGGTCCATTGCTCCATATTTTCGCAAACGCTCAATCCTTCGAACGTAACTTTTAAGAATTGATAATATTGTTAAAATTATATATATATTTTTTTATTATGCTTGATTGTGCTGGAAGAGTGTTCAGATGGCATGAAATGTAAATCATGAGTGGTAGGGTTAATAGGTGCATTGTTCAAAGTCGGTTTGGAAAATGTCGAGAGATTGACCTTAACCTTGATGAGCAAGAAGGTCGGGGCATGATTCAAGTCGGGTGATATTTTTGCAGCGATGAAGAAATGCTGATATCAAATTAAAAAAGTTCAAAAAAATAAAACGTTCAAGCTGAAGGGGTGGAACTAAGAAAGTTCGCTCTTCAAGAGAACAAAAAACATATCATCATAGAAAATACGAAATAGCATTGAATTATACACTCGGTTGAATCAAGGTGTAACGTCCCAGTCCTTCAAAAGGAACCAAATTTATGCAACAGGAATGTACCACGTATACTCAGCGCGTATATGCTAAATCCCGATATTTCGTCAGAGATACTTCTGTCCAAGTTTTATGTGAAGTCTAATTTTGAGCTATCTTTTGGATAACCTTTTATTTGTACTTTTTAATCGCTAAGGTTTGAAACAGAATACATGTATAATCTCAACAGTTGTGTAGAATATTTATTATTTCATTGAAATAATATAAACAATACAAATTATTCCAATTTTGCCAGATTAATACAGTTTATCGCAACAACTCAACGAAGGAGAAACTTTTGAACAATGGTTTAGAATAGACAAAAGTGAAAATTGACGCCCTCCAAGGGAAGATTAGAAAAAAAATTATAAATCCATCCAAAATTTCAATTTAGATTTTTAATTTTATTTTACGGCTTTTATATCTAACCGCGATGGGTGAATCCAATTTGTCAGTCACGTCATATTTAATTTACCTTCTTTCTGTTCTCTTATTCTCTTGCGACTGTCTACCTTCAACATTACTCTCTCTCTCTTTCTATCTCTCTCTCTCTCTCTCACTCTCTCTCACTCTCTCTCTCTCTCTCTCTCTCTCTCTCTCTCTCTCTCTCTCATCAATCACTCTCTTTATATATCTATCTATCTTCCTTTTTTTATATCTCTTTCTCTTTCTTCTGTTCTTTTTTCTTCTATCTTAAAAAAATTTATATAAAACGTTTAAAATGGATTACACATTCTCATTGATAATGTGGGTGGTTTGTATTTATTGGATTGGCAAAGAGTGGTTTGCAAAGATATCACGATTAACGAGAAAAACTCCATTCTGGAAAACGTCCAGAAAAGTTTTCCAATTACGGTACACATAAACATCGATCTCAGTAATTGTTTCACGACTGTCTATTAATTATACTTTGTATTTTTCTTTGTTCTTCTGTTTATTGTTTTTATAATTCCAAGGCGTTGCTATTCTGGTTGAATTTTGTTTTCTTCTTTCTTTAAAATCGATGGTTTACTTTTTTGTCAAATTGAGTTTATTTGGAAGGGGATTTTGCGCGTTCAAGACTCTAGAGGTTTGATTTGTGCATAATGATTTCTTTTTATATGTATATAAGATTTCTGTTAGTTAAAAACTATATTTTTATACAGTATTAATTATTATTTCTGCATTATTTTGATTATACGTAAAATATACCTGAAATTAGGAAAATAAATTGAGCGTTGTTTAAAATTTGTACGAATTCCAGGAAAATCGCAAATAAATAATTAATCTATGTATTTTATGATCCATGAAATTGAAGCTATTTTCTGTAATTTGGTCTGACAAACTAGGCGATTGTATATTATGAATTTGACTTTTTGCGTTTGTGAATGTTTTTCTGCAAAGTGTAGCGTGCAATCGTGTTAATGCAGTGAGGTCATAGGGCATCGAGGCTTGCCCACTCGACTGCCGCAACATCCCATATTGTACCACTCGGCCGATATCGGGATGGGGCTCGGGATATGCTGGAGAAAGGCCGACCGACAATTTATACGTGAATGTACTCTCACTCACCTAGTCTCGTCTGCAGAACGGTTTCCAGCCGACACGGCCGAGGCTGGGCTCGACCCGGACAAAACGGGGCAGGACCGGATCGGGAAGGAGACCGACCCACGCTCTCGACTCGAGACGGGTGTTACGCGGACGCGTACATGTCTTGCGTATCCGTACGCTTTGACGAAGAGCGGACAACTGCGGATTGAAGACCCTGGAACGTAGCCGGCTGTTCAGCTTCTGCCTTCTACCACGGCCCCTCTACGGTCTACCTCTGTACCTCTACAGTCCACACTCTACAGATCCGCTTCCCCGACTCCTACACGATGCAAATCGCGCATGCCCGCATGCACAACATGCCCCGTCTCGACACCCACACTCCACAGGCCAGAGACGAAAGCCGCAGTTGTCAGGGCGAAGTCGACCTCTCTCCTCTCTGACGGCCCGTGTAAAAACCCTTTAAAGACTGGTTCATTCATGGATTTTATCATTAGCCTCATTATCCGGGCCTATTCATTGAATGTCACTCGGTTGACGTCGCTCCTAAGTCATTGGCATATTCCTAAGATCAGGCCAAAAATCCTCATCCCGCAGATGACTTTCACTCTTTTCCCTCTACGAAATGACTCCATAAAAAAAGCTGTATGAGCGAGAAAAACCCCTTTTCATCTTCATAAAAGGATATTACTTTAAAGCATAAAATCATATTCTAGCCATACAAGGAATAAAATACACTTTGGCCCATAATTTTGCATTACAGAAATTAGATAATTAAAACATAACCAAAATGCCTATATATCCTGCTTATGACTAAAGACAAGTATTTTTGTTAGGCTTGCTATGATGTTTTGATAGGTTTATATTTATTAACCACATTTTTTTTAATCTTATATGCTATACATATTAATATAACTTGAGGTTGCTATCACTAGAGTCCAGATTTATACTCACAAAAAAAATCCTCAAATACGCCATATAATATGAACTAATAAAACCTGAAATATGCAATATTATATCCACTTTAAAAAATCCTCAAATATGCCATATGATATGCATTATGTAAAACTGAAATATGCAATGTTGTGTGCAGTAAAAAAAGCCTCAAATCACTATACCAATCACTAAATATCATTACGGTCCAACGCATCCTAGGTTTAATAGTACTGCCATTAATTTGTCGCAATTTTTCCTTGAATACATTTCCATTGAACCTAGGACTTTTTCTTAGCCCAATCGTCTTTTAAAATGCACAATGTACAATTTTAGGATTAGGTAGTAGGAATTGGGTACGATGAGTTTCAGTTTCCACAATGGTTAGGTGCCAAACCCTGACTTTATGCTTGAGCAATGCCAAAAATCACAACCAGACAACAATGCTTCTAGTGTTAAATTTTGATAAAAGGAACCTTTTCATTTTCACAGGAATTGTTACATGGAAAATTTTTAGCCTAGTCTGAAAATGTTAAAAGAAGCCTCACTTTTCCAATCTTCAGGGTGGAGCATTTCTTTCTTGCAAAACTGTTTAATAATTGGAATATATATTTTTGAAATTGAACATGATAAAATGAAAAGAAGAATAATAATCGGTAAACAAGGAAAGATGTTTAATCAAGACAAATTAAATAAACTAGGGTTTTAAACAATGACTTTAATTTACAAAGGAGGACATTTTATAATGGTTTGTTGTTAGTTATTACAGAATAAAGGTAGAAACATGCATAATTTTTCTCTTTTTTTCTATACAGCTTACAGAAAGCACAATCTGGTGAAAGTTGTCAGTCTCATTGTCTATGTAAATTTTTTTATTTTTAAAAAATGTGATAAAGAGAGCATGGCGACGTCTTAAATGCATGGCTCCCGACCCAGCGTCTGCACTCTCGCCATGCTTTTCGGGATATTAACCGTGAGTCGGCGTCGAATACGACTTAGGTTTAATTTTAATTATTTTCTACTTTTTCCAGCTTCTCGTGGTCTGTGTATCCTGCAAAGATTGGACGTATAACCACGAGGATTCTCTTTCTCTTTGGAAATTCTACCAAGCGGCCGGTTTCGCACCTGAAGCACCTCTGTGGGGCATAGACGAAAGGGGACTCTACATGCTAGTACCTGGAATACCCTATTTTGAAAAACCTACAAAAATCCTGGTAAGTTCAACTGATTTATTATGTATTTTGATGTATTAAAAATAAAACAAAATAAAAACGCAGGGCAAATTTCCTAACTGAACTTGTCTCTTTTTTTATGACAAATTTTTTATGTCTTAAAATGTTTGGTGTGTTGATATTCGATTCACTCAAATTTTTATAATTGCGCAATAAAAAACTGAAATATGGCCTCTATGTATTGGCTCTATCATATTTACATTGTAAATTTGGCAAGACTTTAAGATTTACAGTCTTTATATAACTATCTAGTTTGTATATATAATTTTGTAAGACTTGCTATATTCTGTCATACAATTTATGTAAAATTTATGATCATATGGGAGTTAAAAGCCTTTGCACCAATAGAAGACATGTTCTTATTCTTCCTGATAATATCTGTACAGGCTAGTTTTGAGTGTCCAGTCAGCAGTCCTACTATCGTTCTAGCCCTAAATGTCCTGGGTCATAGTTAATTTAAGTATTGATATCCAGGACTAGTTCGATGTGCTAAGGTTACAGTTTGAGGTTAAAAGGAGTCAGCCTCCAATATTGTGTAATCTCCATCATTGTCTCTTCACCAAGCTTAAGGCCTATTTCAGACGAGGCGGTTTAGTTAATTCAACTAAGTTGCCCGGTTGACTCTCAATTAGTTTGCTCCTTTGTGAAGACTCGGTTTCACCAGGCAACTTGTGGAATCAACCTCTCTTCCCAACGGGAGGTCAGTACATGTTAGAACCCGAGGAAGCTGGAGCACTTCTTGTGCTTGCTTTTCTGCAAAAAGAGAAACAAAAAAAGGAGGAAACCCAGTAAAGAAAAGTGTGGGTTTATCTGGTGTTATAAAATTGGGAAACGGGTGCTTCCTCTCAAATACTGTTGTACTACTTCCCTCTAAGCTAAGCTTCTTTTAATTTTATCACTATACTTTTCACACCTTATGTCCCATATCACAGGACCAATACGAATATCTTCAATGAACTGCTTCACATTTTTTTTTTTTTTTTTTTTTTTTTTTTTGGCGTTATGAACTATGCATATTAGCCATGTGACAAATTCGTATATGTGTGTTCAAATTTGGGGGGTTATTGGGAAAAAAGGGCCAGGGGCAACGGTGGGAATTGAACCCGCGTCTGCGGCTTGAGAGTCTCTCATGCTAACCACTCGGCTACCGCGGTCCCCCAACTGCTTCACATTGAAACTTGCAATGGCAACACTTTCCATGGTGTACTCAGTTGACTCAACTAAGCGACTGGTGTGATGGACGAATGCCGAGCAGTGTCTTTTGAGTTGAGTCAACCAGAGGGGATGAGAACGTGAGCAGCATTTGTGCCTGCTGGCCACCCGCCTGGGCGGACGAGTTGACTGCGTGTGAAAGGGTTGGGGCGATTCCCATACATTTTGCTACCACGTTACACTCCTTGACACCCGTCCGTTCAACTAGTTGCCTTGTCTGAAAGAGGCCTTAGGCTTTTCAATACATTCAAAAGCTTTGTTGAAGGCTTCCATATGTATTCTTCAGGTTTTGGCTTTTCCACTCCCATGAGTAGGAATCCCATCCTGAATAGGCCTTCGCCCAAAAGTGTTCCACTGTTTCTTATTCCTCTTGGCAATATCTGTACAGGCTTGTTTTTGCATGTCCGGTCAGCAGTCATAGAACTCGATTTAGTAGTTTCTGCCAGTTCTGAATTACATTTCTATTAAACCAAAGACTTATTCCAATCATATATGGTATAATATATCTTTTAAAATACTTTATTTAAAAAAAATCTGTTTCTGATGATATTTTAAGTTGATGAAGAACAGCTGTATTGATGAACAAATCACCACAATTATACTATTAAATATAATATTTTTCTTAGTTTAGTGCTTTTACGTATAATCACATGTGTCTTAATCATATTTGGTTCTGGGTTGAATTTCAGCAAACCTTTGAACATTTATTTAAGAATAATTTGGAAAAATATTGTAAAGTGGTTCTTAATTCTTATGACACCCCAATGAGTATGAAGGAAATTGCTTTACACAAAGTAAATTTTATTTCCTGTTTATTAATTAATGTTAGTTTACTTTAAGATTGCTATATTTGGAAAGGTTTATAGGTTAACCAAACTATTTTTATGATCGTATGGGCTAAATCAAATATTATTTCAATTTATAGTTTGTTTTTACAAACTAATTTTTGTACATTTTCTACTTCTATTTTTATGATACTTTTCTCAGGCTAAATTATATTTCTAGTTTCTAACAAATTGCTTTTTTTAAGTTTTGCTGTATCCAACCATATATCTCAAATTATGCTCATTTTAAAATTCTTTTTTAGCTTAGTATTTCAAAACATTGTTGAAAAACTAAACTTTCCTTCGTTTATGACCCAAAAAAACTCATTGTTATTCTAATCCTTCAAATTAATGCAATTATAAGTTGAAAAATCAATAAATACAAAAACCTTGCATTTCTGTGTCAAATTATGGGAGAATGTATGTTATATTTTTTATACAACCAACCTGTATCTGACTTAAGATAGTGAAGTGTGTAGTATTTACTGACCGTTAATTAATCATTATTTGGAGATCGTGAGATGCGGTCTTTTGAGATGTAAGTTTAGAAAAACATTTTCATTATCGTGCCAGCGTTTCGATCTTCAGGTGTGTGTTCACAGAAAACACACTTTGAGCCCTGAAGATGATCCCAATATAGATCGAAACGTTGGCACGATAAAGAAAATGTTTTTCTAAAACTACATCGCACAAGACTGCATCTCACAATCTGCAAATAGTCAGTAGTGAAGTAAGTTTTTTTTAAGACCCACAGTACATTATGGTTTGTGCCAATAACATTTCATTATTAACTTGAAATATAATACATGTAGTGAATATATATCTAGTTTCTTGTATGTAATTATTAAATATTTTACAAATCAAGGTGAAAAAGTTCTAATTTTATTAATCATATAAAATAATAATGTAATTATTGTAAATGTTTATAGTAATTCTATTGTATATTTATTACAGAAGATGAAAAAGAAGAAATGGAAGAAGCCAAAGAAAAATTCAACACCTTCAAAACAAGGAACAAAACAAAAAATGTTCTGTTAAACATGTTTTTGTTTAAATATATTAAATTGCTTGCTTTATTGTAGTTTTACTGTACACTCGGTTCAATATAATAGAAAGGCAAGGATAGAAAGAATCTTTAATATTATTTTTGTCGTATATTTACACTATATACACTAACAATGTATAATTTAAATATATATAAAAAGTAATTCAATCCCATTTGGATTCTTTTCGGATGAACACCTCCTTCCCTTCAGAGTCGACAGCTGGGTAGTAGCCCATTCCTTCGTACTTCTTACGCATGTACGCTATGTAAGAGGCACATCCTATCAGCGCGACCAAACCCAATCCCATGATTGCTTTGTTCTGTAATAAAATTAACAAAAGTAAGATTATGAACCTACTGGTTTCAATATTTTTTCTTCATATAATGACAGTTACGGTACACTTAAGTTTGCACCTGAACGTTACAATAAATTCATAAGCAAAAACTATGAAATTTTTAAAAAATTTTATTACCGGAGCTGTGTATAGTTCAAAATTAACCACTCTGAAGGCAGCCGAAGTCCTTAAAGATTTCAACCCATCTCCGGGCTTGGGCTCAGACATGTTTCCCTATATTTTCAAGTCCTCTAATTCCTGTTAATTTAAATTTGCTTTTACGCTTTACGGGATTTTAACCTACTGGGCAAGGTGCTGTAAAGTGTAACTAAAAGAAGGTTACGAACTGTGCACCTAATGTATATTGTAAACAAACAATTGAACCCGTAATATCAACTTTTTGTATAGTTTTCAAAGCCCATGAGTTTATATTTTAAGCTTTCTTTAATTTAGAATCGAAATGGGAGACCCTCCTGTTAAGGTAATGAGAATATTATTTCATCATTTTATTTTTTTTCTTCTTGATAATTTTATAGGATTGATAAGAACAGTATTACACTACACCAGTAAAGACAGTGATTTTTATTATCATGATTGATTTTATATAATACTATTAACAGTGGACGGATAATGGAAGGATAAAAGTCAACCTGCTAGCAGTTTTACTTGTTCGATTTTGTATGATTTCACACAAAAGTAATTTAATAATAGTAATTTTCAGTTAAATGTCACAGTTTGTAAGTTTAATAAAAATAGACAACATTTATTGAAGGATGCAAAAGTTTACACCATATTGCCAAAAATTGTACTAAGCATGTATTATGTTCAATGTTTTGTCAATAAGTTTTGAAATTGTACTTACATTTCTGAGTTCCATCGTTACTAAATAAACAATTAACATTACAACAATTTTCTGCCGTTCCATAGACATTAAGCTAAAAATCACAGCTTTTTCTTGAACGTTTCTGAACAGTTGATGAACTTTCAGCGTATGATGGATATGCAACTATCTGTAGAAAAATTCTAAGAAAAAAATCTTTTCCTCTGCAATAATGAAATGAAAAACTGAAAAATAAACTTTATTTTGGAGCTACAAAGTCTATTTACCAAATTATATACATACATATAAAATGAAAATACTCTACTAAGGAAATGAAATTAAAAGTTGTACTGACAAGCGGTAATCAAAGAAACGGGTCTTAAAAACAAAAAGGGATAGTGTGTGATGGATAGCGTGTGGATGAAGAAGGAACAACTGAACATATTAGTTCTTAGGAAGATGTCAAAAGGGCGAGAGTGAGTTTGACAAATGTACCACGAATCTGAAAGTTAGGAGATCAGATTGGCAGTTTAAAGCACCGTAAATCCACTTTTAGAAGCATGGGAGATGGGAGCCCCAAACCAAACAAACAAATAAATAAAATAAATAAAAATAGATCTTCTAAAACTGATTATTTGTTTTTTTAACTAATGTATTTTGCAATCAGAGATACCGTCGAGTAGAACTTGAAAAGGAGGAATCTTCGAGCAGCGACTCAGAGACAGATTACAAACCGTACGTCCCGCTTAGAGAAAGGAAAAGAGAACAGTTCCTCAAGTTGGGTCGTTTGGCACAGGTAAGTCGCACTATTCCAATAATCATTCTGTAAATTAATCTACCTCTTTACAGTCGAAAGATGAAGATACAAAAGGGAAATCATCAAGCGAAAATGAAAAGGAAGATGAAGATGGAAAAATCTGGGGAAGAAAGTCCAACATCAGTCTCTTGGACCAGCACACAGAGCTTAAAAAAATGGCCGAAGGTGATAATTTTGTTTTTATTTTTTAAAATACTTTTTAGCTTAGTTAATTATTACAGCTAAGAAAGAAAGCGCGATGGAAAGGCAGTTGAAAGAAGAGGAAAAAATTCTTGAAAGTGTGGCGGAAAGAAAAGCTCTAATGGGTGTAGCTGAACTTGCAAAAGGCATTCAATATGAAGAATCCTTAAAAACAAGGTAATAATTACCTCAATCACTGTTGATTATTGATTGATCATAAATGTAAATATTACAGCTGGACAGCACCAAGATGTATTATTAATCTAGGTGAAGTGGTTTATGAGAAAGTGAGAAAGAAATACAGAATTTTAGTCGAAGGAGATGACGTACCACCGCCTTGTTTAACTTTTGAGGAAATGAAATTACCCCGTCCTCTCATAAGTGCGTTGCTTGCAAAAAATATCGACAAGCCAACACCTATACAAATCCAAGGAATTCCGACAATGTAAGTTTAAGGATATAATTAAACTGGAATAATAATAATTTTTGACTTTTTAGACTTTCAGGTAGAGATATGATTGGCATCGCTTTCACAGGATCAGGAAAGACGCTTGTTTTTGTTCTTCCCATCATCATGTTTTGCCTGGAGCAAGAGACCAAAATGCCTTTTATTAAAAATGAAGGCCCATACGGTATATTTTAATGATAAATTTAGTTAATCCTAATTAATGCAATTAATTTTTATTTTTAGGATTGGTCATCTGTCCTTCTAGAGAATTGGCTAAACAGACCCATGATATCATTAAATACTACACAGCGCATCTTGTGAAACACGGATTCCCACAGATAAGATGTGTTCTAGCTATCGGTGGAATACCGATCGGAGAGTCACTTGATGTCATATCGCAGTAATTTTTTAAATTATATTGAAAATTAAAAACGTCTGATAATGCAATGTATTTTCAGCGGCGTTCATATTATGGTAGCAACACCAGGAAGACTAATGGATATGCTTGATAAAAAAATGGTTAAACTTGACATATGCAGGTATCTTTGTATGGACGAGGCAGATCGAATGATTGATATGGGTTTCGAGGAAGATGTGAGAACAATTTTCTCATTTTTCAAGGTATAAATTATTATATGTAAATGTTCTTTCTTAAAGTAAAAATAATATATTGTGAGATAATTTGTTGAGGTCTTATCTAACCAACCTGGTCTACCTTTTTCCTAGTTTTTGAAAGGTTTGACAGAAAAAATCTAGTAAAAAGTAATTCCTTTACAAGTTTTAACGTCCAACTACCTGTTAGATGTCATAGACTAGAGGAAAAACCATTTTACAACAAATTTTTCTTACTATAATCAATTAAAAACCCATGGGCTCAGCCCGGATTCAAACTCAGAACCACGAGCATGGCAAATACGAGTCAGATGCTCTAATTACTCGGCCACTACGATAAAAAAAAACCTAGTGATAATAGGCATTACATAGGCTTGAACAGAGCCGATTAAATATCATATTTGTTTAATCAACGGATTTTTGAAGGAAAATTGCATCTATGTACATGTTATTTTTTTATAGGGACAAAGGCAAACGTTATTGTTTTCTGCCACGATGCCTAAGAAAATCCAAAATTTTGCCAGGTCTGCTCTTGTTAAACCAGTCACAATTAATGTAGGAAGAGCCGGCGCTGCATCAATAAATGTCATTCAGGTATGACCTATCAACACTATACACGCTTTCTAACTTTTGTTTTTATACTTTGGATTTTACAGGAAGTTGAATATGTCAAACAAGAGGCTAAGATAGTATATTTGTTAGAATGCCTTCAAAAAACTACACCACCTGTGTTGATATTCGCCGAGAAAAAGCAAGACGTGGATGCGATACACGAATATCTTTTGCTCAAAGGCATTGAAGCCGTGGCTATACACGGTGGAAAAGGTTTGTCAATTGTACCATATAATTAACTAGTAAATTATTTAATGTTTTACTTAATCCATTAGATCAAGAAGAAAGAACAAGAAGTGTAGAAGCGTTTAGAGGCGGAAAGAAAGACGTTTTAGTTGCTACAGATGTGGCATCAAAAGGGCTTGATTTCCAAGATATACAACACGTTATTAATTACGACATGCCTGATGATGTGGAAAATTATGGTAATTTTTTTGCAAAGTTGACTTTTTTTAAATTGTATTTGATTTCAAAATTCCATTCTGGATGGGGGGGGGTCTGTGTTAAACCTAATGGCCTAATAGGCGGGGGAAAATGATAGATGAACAAACTAGATATTTTTCAATTTTAGTTCACAGAATCGGTCGTACGGGAAGATCAGGGAAGACAGGCCTGGCTACTACATTCATCAACAAAGCAAATGACGAAAGCGTACTCCTCGATTTGAAACATCTACTCATAGAGGCGAAACAGAAAGTACCACCGTTTCTTGCCGAACTGCAATCCGAGAGTGAAAAATACCTCGATCTTGGCGGTAAACATTGTTTTCATATTAATTAAGGTTTTAAGTTGAGATAAAAAAATCATTGTCACGAGCGGGATACGAACCCACGTCCTTCGGCTTGATACGCCTCTGCTCTACCACTTGAGCTATCGTGACTTCGATCCACTCGGGCACTAACTTCCCATCTCAACCCCACCTTCGAATTTTACCTCCTTTTTGCAAATGTCGTGTAATCGATTTGATTCTCGGCGACAAATGAAATGGCCACGGAGAGCTTTAGTGTAGTATACTTTATTTTAATCCATTACAGTCACTATTTTTCGTGGTCCGCTTGACCAATTAATACAATTCAATTAAGGTTTTAAGTTGAGGATGATTGCGGGATCCCGCTAGTGACACTGACTTTTTTATCTCAACTTAAAACCTTAATTAATTGAATCGTATTAATTGGTCAAGCGGACCACGAAAAATAGTGAATTGTTTTCATATTTGTAGATTTATTAGAAAATTTAATAAACTTGTTTTTAGATGAAAGAGGATGCAGTTATTGTGGAGGTCTCGGGCACAGGATTACAAATTGTCCCAAACTGGAAGCAATTCAAAGCAAGCAAGCATCGAATATTGGAAGACGAGACTACCTTGCCAACAATGCTGCTGATTATTAAAACTTCTATATTAATTTATTTTACATCTGTGATATGTATGTTTATCATTTTATGTTTTTAATTTTCATTTTTGCTGTAAAAACCAAAAGCAAGGTTCTGAAGTAATTTTGAATAATAAAGTTAATTTCAATCGGTCAACATTTATTTAAACAACTAAAACAAAACGCACAAGTTGTAACTAATAACAAAACAAAATAAAACAATAATAATAATTAATATAGTTAATACAACTCAAACAACTCATTTTCCTATAAATTAAGTATATTTTATTCAGATTGTTGTTAGCATTAAAGCTTTGCGGGGTAGACCGCTGTTTCTTAGAAGTAGGCTAGTTGCGGGGGATGTGGCAGTTTCGCCATCCATTGATTTATGTTTACTAGTCCAGACAAAATAAAATTCGCCATAGGTTTTTTTAATAAGAAATACTCATGGCAATATGTCACCTATAGATTCTCTAAAGAATGAAGCGATTCACATAATCACCCCACAACGTTTCGCCCTGAAAAGAAAAACAATGTTATTTAAGTATATAAATAAGTATGAAATATATTATAATCGATGAAAACATGTTAAATCATCAATTATTATAATCACAATAACTAAAACCAAAAAAAATCTATGTCTACAAACATTTTATCACTTTTAGGTACAATATAAGTTTGACATTATTATTAGATACACGTTTGAGTATCAGCGACAGGGCCACTATAACCTCAACAAAATACAAATTGCTTAACATTTAAATAAGCCAGAAGGCTGCAGTGCCTGGGGAATACAAGCCCCGCTTCCCAGCATCCCTTCCACCATACCATACCAACATATATAACAATTTTTAGATAGTGGGAAAAAATTAGTTCATAAAACCCCTCATCAATGATATCTCTTATAAATGGTAGAGACAAATAGCAAATATCAATTTCCTTCAGTAGCTCATTGGCACTGACCATTAGTGACATGGAATGATAACCAATTTGAAGGTGATGAGCAAACTGAGAATCTAAGGAAAATGAAAAAATAGCACTACAATAAGAGAGATTATTGATAATATAAGGGAGAATGCTTAGATTTCTGTGGAGTGAAAAGCTACGCCATTGAACAGAATGGAGGCTTGAGTAGACCATTTTAATAATAGAGCTCACATGATCATAAGCGTGAAATTTAAAATAATGCCAAGATTATTAACTTTAGAACAAAAATTAATAGGCATATTAATGTTGTTGTTTTTTTGTAAATTAATAAGGATTGGGATTTGTTAGGATTTAAAAGAATGCCGTTACTTGACCATTGATTGTGAGAATGAAGATCATTAGAAATGATGAAGGTGGGATGAATATGTAGGTTCACTTTTATAAAAGATGGTTCTGCTCACAGATTTGTGAGTGAATCTGTAAATAGAACCACCTTTGACAAAATGAAGATCATGGTTAAACAAAGAGATAGTTTCAGAGATGTGGGTCGTAGGAAAATTGAATGTAAAGCTGTCATCAGCATATAGATGAAACTGGGAGAAATTAATCTAATGGACATTCATTTACGAACATGGAAAAGAGTAAAGGTCCCAAGAATAGAGGCTTGGGGTACACCAGCTGAAATTGAGAGAGAAGAGGAGATAGAATTTGAAGGCTTTAATTGAGTTCTGTCAGACAGATAGGAGGAGAACAGATTAGTAGCAGTATAAAAATTGAAAATATGTCAGTTCCCAAATAAGCAAATTATAATTTACAGAGCCGAATGCGTTGGAAAAATCAAGTAGAACTAGAATTATTATTATTATACATTCATTATCATTAATGCCCAGGTGGATATCATCTTTTGAGAGGGGCTGTCTCCCGATTGAAATTTTCAGAAGCCAGATTGAAAAATGGATATAAGGGCATGGGAGTGATATTAGTTTAATAAAATCTTAAATGCTAGTAGTAGTACTAATAGGGTGGTAGATTTTGGTTTCTATGATCTCTTGGTTTAAGGTCATAACAGTATTAAATGCAGAAATGAAAACAATTTGAAGGTGATGATCAGGTTGAGAGTGAGATTTATGTTATTCCGGTTATATTTAAATGAGAATGTACAGGAAAAATTTATTACACCAACATAGCAGATATGTACCAAATGCTAATTATTTAATCTGAAGATTTTTAAAATAATTTTAATGTATTCGTTGCTGAGATCATGATTTTTGGGTAAAGCTTCGGATTTATCGATTATTTGAGCAGGTTATTTCTTCAGAATGTTATTACTGGTGAATTCTACTGTGTGGCAACGGCACATTGGTTTCATTGTTACAGCGTTGTTCATTAGAAGTTTATTTATTTGTTAATTCTTGAAAATTATCGTTATATTGTAAAATTGGTTTATGATATAAAAAAAGAAGTTTTACTAAAATCACTTCAAAGAATCGAGGTAATGCAATCGATTTTCACCTTATCTGACGTGCTGTTTCAATCGTTTGCTAACGTGGACGACTACTGTTTTATGTTATATGTTGTGTCGGTGAGTCCGCATCGATTTCTCTCGAAATACCGTGAAAGTGCTTGTTTCTTTCGACAAAATGACGATGTCGACGGTAGAACAGCCGTGTTACACGCTCATTAATTTCCCGGACACTCAGCCGATGGGGGAGATGCAGCTGAAACAGGACCTGGAAAAGGGTGACACGAAAGTGAAGATCGAAGCTCTCAAGAATGTCATCCACATGATAGCTAACGGGGAAAGGCTTCCGGGCCTGCTAATGCACATAATCAGATTCGTCCTTCCCTCCCAAGACCACAATATCAAGAAACTCCTGCTCATCTTCTGGGAGATCGTGCCTAAGACCTCACCCGACGGCACATTACTTCAGGAGATGATTCTCGTCTGCGACGCATACCGTAAGGACCTACAGCATCCCAACGAATTCGTCAGAGGGTCGACTCTGAGGTTCCTCTGCAAATTAAAAGAGCCGGAGTTGCTCGAGCCTCTTATGCCTGCGATTCGGTCCTGCCTCGAACACAGGATCTCCTACGTTAGGAGGAACGCCGTTCTCGCCATATTCACTATATACAGGAACTTTGAGTTCCTCATTCCAGATGCGCCAGAGTTGATAGCCAATTTTTTGGACGGAGAGCAAGACATGTCTTGCAAAAGGAACGCATTTCTCATGCTCCTTCATGCCGATCAGGATAGAGCGTTGTCTTATTTGGCATCGTGCCTGGACCAAGTGACTTCCTTCGGCGATATATTACAACTTGTCATCGTCGAGCTTATTTACAAAGTGTGTCATGCCAATCCTTCAGAAAGATCACGGTTTATTAGATGTATATATAATCTACTTAATTCCAGCAGCCCAGCTGTAAGATACGAAGCTGCCGGAACCCTCATAACGCTCTCCAGTGCACCAACAGCCATTAAAGCTGCAGCTTCTTGCTATATTGATCTAATAATCAAAGAAAGCGATAATAACGTCAAGTTGATAGTACTCGACAGGCTTATTGCTTTAAGAGATATACCTGCTTATGAGAGGGTCTTGCAAGATTTGGTCATGGATATTCTTAGGGTCCTGGCTAGCACGGACATGGAGGTACGGAAAAAAGCCCTAAACCTTGCTCTTGATCTGACAACATCGAGATGCATCGAAGAGATGGTCCTGATGCTCAAAAAAGAAGTTGCCAAGACTCATAATCTATCAGAACATGATGACACAGGAAAATATAGACAGTTGTTGGTTCGTACTCTTCACTCTTGCTGTATGAAATTTCCAGATGTTGCTGCTTCGGTGATCCCAGTATTGATGGAATTCCTTTCGGACACTAGTGAGTTAGCGTCATATGATGTTTTAGTATTTATGAGAGAGGCTATTCACAAATTTGAACACCTTCGGTCAATAATAATAGAAAAACTATTAGAAGTGTTCCCATCTATCAAATCTGTCAAGGTTCACAGGGCAGCTCTTTGGATTCTAGGCGAATACACCGACAGTAAAGAAGATATATTGGCTGTTATGAAACAGATCAGGCAGACTCTGGGTGATATACCTATCGTTGAGGATGAGTTAAAGAGGGCGGCTGGAGAAAAAGTGGAAGAGAGTGAACAACCAGTTGCCACTAAATTGGTCACATCGGATGGAACCTATGCTACACAGTCAGTGTTCAATACAGTTTCCTCGACCAAAAAAGAAGATAGGCCTCCTTTGCGTCAATACTTAATGGATGGGGATTTTTTCATCGGCGCTGCAGTTGCTTTTACTCTGGCAAAACTATCATTGAGATTTGCTCAACAAGTTGAAAGTACAAAGATACAAAATAAATTTTTCTCAGAGGCTATGTTGATCATCTCATCAATTTTGCACCTTGGTAAATCCGGCCTGCCAAGTAAAGCTTCAAACAATGATGACACCGAGCGGATGCTATTCTCCCTTAGAGTACTTTGTAGCCAAGCGCCACAATTTATCACACAAATTTTTACTAAAGAATGTCGCAATGCATTAGCTGCTATGTTAATTGCAAAACAAAATGAAGAATCTAATGTAACTAAGGCAAAGGAAAAAACAGTTCAGGCCATACAAGTCGACGATCCCGTGTCATTTTTACAGCTGTCTTCTTTGAGATCAGACATGGGCACAGAAAATGTTTTTGAATTGAGTTTGAACCAAGCTGTAGCTGGGCCTACAGCAGGAAGCTCTGATACAACAGATCTTTTCTTTTCCGCTAGCAAATTGAACAAAGTAACTCAGCTCACTGGTTTTTCAGATCCTGTTTACGCCGAGGCTTATGTGCACGTCAACCAATATGACATAGTCCTAGATGTGCTTATTGTCAATCAAACAAGTGACACTCTTCAAAACTGTACGCTTGAGCTGGCCACACTTGGAGATTTAAAGTTGGTTGAAAAGCCACAGCCTTGCGTCCTCGCTCCACATGATTTTTGCAACATTAAAGCCAATGTGAAAGTAGCATCGACTGAAAACGGTATAATATTTGGAAACATCGTTTATGATATCACAGGAGCAGCTTCAGACAGGAATGTTGTAGTTCTCAATGACATACATATTGATATAATGGATTATATCGTCCCTGCGTCCTGTTCCGACATCGAGTTCCGACAGATGTGGGCAGAGTTCGAATGGGAAAACAAGGTTTCGGTCAACACCAACCTTACAGATCTGCACGAGTACCTAGCACATCTGCTCAAGAGTACCAATATGAAATGTCTCACACCGGAAAAAGCGCTCTGTGGACAGTGCGGCTTCATGGCTGCCAACATGTATGCTAGATCTATTTTTGGAGAAGATGCCTTGGCAAACCTAAGCATTGAAAAGCCTTTTAACAAGCCTGATGCTCCAGTAACTGGCCATATCAGGATCAGGGCCAAAAGTCAGGGTATGGCTCTAAGCCTTGGCGATAAAATAAGTATGACACAGAAAAGAGCACACAAATCTTATGGACAATAATTTTTTTTTAATAGTTATAATAAACAATTTACGATTTATAATTATTGTATCTATAGAATTATTAACTTTCCTCTTATTGTATCATTAACATGTAAAGTGCAATTTATACTATTATGCTTTAAATAAAACAAGAACTTGAATTAGTTATGATTAATAAATTTCATCCACACCAATACCAAGCTCCAAAATTTCACTCTTCGATAATATTAAACTAAAATAATTAATAATTAATTTTTTTTTTTTTTTTAATGAAATTGTCTGTACCTCATGAACTGACTTCGTCTTAACATTGTGCTTGAAATTATGCCAACAGTCACTACTACTTTATAATCAAGCTTCCAACAGCTTAGCAAGATACTTTTTATATTCCCTCGAAGTTCAAATTAGAATGAACAAAATGTGGTGAACAAAATTTATGAACTAGGACCCAACTTATTGCTGACCACACCCCAATTTTTTCACTGCATACTTAATAGTTGAAATTAATTTTGTATAATCTGAACTTTGTTTACTTAAAATAATGAAAATTTGAAAGAATGTGTATTAAAGTTAGTTTGAAATTAGTATTCTTACCTAGATTGACTGCTGATAACCTATAATAAATGGGCAATTTCATCTTGCAGGATTAGGGTCTGAAATATAGAATTTCAATTTATAAGTTCTTCGATTGTTAAATAGGGTTTTACAGATTAACAACTCACCGGCATAAAGATGTGGGTTTTTATTAACCAAACCAAGTTTATTTACTGGTGGTCTGAAGGATTTTCCACTGGTTCCTTTGGCATTAAGTCTTGCTTTTAATTTTTCCAATGCTGGATTCATAATAGCCGGTTGTGGTACTTTATTCGTTGGGAGAGATAATTTGACAGTACCGACCATACCCTTTTTAGCAGTTAGGGATGACTGAAATTTATAACAAGTTAATTTATATATTTTAAAACTTTTTTTTTCAACTTACAACAGAGGCGTTTGCTCTCTTGATGGTTTTCTGTAGTGTAATTTGTGGCTGGTTTGTCTGTAAAGTGTTCGGTAAAAGCCTTTTCTGTGGTTGAGGCGCGATCATGAGTTGATTTGGTCTTGGAACTAATTGGGTTATTTGGGTCTGTGGTGATTCTTGCACCATTGGCTGAGGTACTGGTTGTGGTGAAGGGGCTGGAATAGAAACTTGTGCCTGGGGGACTGCGATGGAGTTTGCCTTCTGTTGAGGCACTGGCAAATAGTCTGAAATCGGTTTTTGAGCAGCTACTCTCTTATGGATTGCCACTCTGGTAGTCGAGGCCTTCTCGGCCACCTCAGAATGTTTGGCATTTATTCTTTTCTGTTAAACAAATTGACATTGGTATTACGGACAAGATCTAAGTTTTAATTAGTAATTACATTTCTAATTTTTGGACGTCTTCGTTTTTCTAAAGTGAGGTAACTTAAAAGAGCAGGGTTTCTCCAATTTGCCTTTGCACCATTTTCTGGCTGTTGACTTTGTGAAACAGAAGGAGCTTGGAACATTTCATTATCCCTGGAAAATTTAAACAAATTAGATAAAATTTGTTATTTGATATTTATATAAACTACTATTACAGCAAAGCGAAAAGTATGTAGTAAAAAGCAAACAGTTGCATCTTAATAATGTGAACTACTTGTGCTAGGCTCGAAAAGCAGTTAAGTTAAAGCAAGTTTTAAAAAAGCCTCTAAACTGATGTGAAAAACAGATTAGATGAACAGCAATTTAAAAAGCCCCCCACATAATTTGAAAAGCGGTTAAAGTAAAAATAATTTTAAAATTATTTACATTTTCAAAAAAATATTAATTTATTTACATTATCTAGAAAATGTAAATTACAACTTGTCATGATAAGCAGTTAAGTTAAACCAAAGTTGAAAAATTCACAAACTGGAAGAAAAGCAGTACAGTTAAACCATAGTTAACCTAAAAAATTTAACCTGCATTTGATTTGTGAAGCCAAATTTTAGTAAACCAAGAAAATTCAGCCTTTAACTTGGCATGTCAAGCAGTTAAGTTAAACCAAAGTTAAAAAATCCTAAACCTGGCAAGAAAAGCAGCATAGTTAAACCAGATTTAGTTAACATAAAAAAATTAATCTGCAACTGCAAAGGAAGTAATGGCAAATTTTAGTAAACCAAGAAAATTCAGCCTTCAACTTGGTATGACAAGCAGTTAAGTTAAACCAAAGTTGAAAATTCCTAAACAAGAAAAGCCAAGTTAAACCAGACTTTAGGAGATGTCAAAAATTTAGCCCCAACTTGAAAAGCAGTGAAGTTCAAAAATTCAGCCTATCTTGATTTGTGCCATAACCAATGTTTAAAAAGCCTCAAACTTGACTTGAAAAATAGTTTGAGCCATTTTAATCAAACAGTAAAGCTGACAAAATGCATATGATAGCAGCTTTATGCTGCGGTGTCATCACTAAGTTGGTTGGAGATGGTTCATAACCTCATAAAAATCATAAATCCTTGTTCCAAAATTATTTCAGTCCTCGAATTTATCACCTAGAATTAAATTTAAATTTTTATCATTAAATTTAGCTTATATTTAATACTTCATAGTTATAAAATGAAATGTTGTTTTAATTCAGTTTTTCTAGCACATTATTTACTATATTTATAAATTTGGATTAACAAATTTTTTTCCAAAAAGTTCCATGTTAATTTTAAATATAGGTATTATAATAGAGTAACATTTTGGGAATTTTCTTGTAATATACTTACCTAAATTCAGCAAAATATTTATGGTCCATGAGCCGTCTTACATTAATCCTCACATCGGGATCATACACGATCATATGTTTGAAAATATCTCTCCCCGTTTCACTAATGAAAGGCATTAATTGATGCAGGCCAGTGCCTTGCTTCGCTGGAAAGCAGACACTGCTGTTCCTACATTTACTGTAGGGGAAGAAAAACTTTTAGAAACTTTTCTTAAAACATTTTTTAAATATCAACTCACTGCTTTCTAAATTTTGCCAAAAGCCTTGGGCTCGGAGTGCCTAAAACATGGTTGATCTTTGCGATCTGGTCGAGTTCACTTGATCCTGGGAATAAGGGTTTGAGCCTGCACAGAGTAATAAACTACACATTCAAGCAACTATATGAATTGATTTTTTGTAAAAAAGAATCATTGAATTGAAAATAAATCCGTTTTGTGTTTAGACCTTTGATGCAAGTCCTAAACATCTATCACAAACTATTAATTTTGTGTTTTTATTTTAAAAAAGTACTAACAAATCGAAAGCATTGCTTTTAACATCGAAAATTCATAAGTAACTTTTATAATTACGTGAGGAGCTCAAAAAACACACATCCGATGGCCCAAACATCCATTTTGGGTCCATAAAACCCAGTTGTGAGTAAGCATTCAGGGGAACGGTACCATCTTGTGGATATGTATTCGGTATAAGGATGTCGAGCGTAGATCCCTTTTATGGAGCCGAGATCAGAAATTTTTAATAAATCACCCTAGAATTCATATAAAATTAATTAAATTCTTTTTAATTGTTATAGAAATTTCTTTCCTCACTTTGACTAATATATTTTCTGGCTTGATGTCCCTATGGAAGATGCCATGGTGATGAATGTGATCTACCCCTTTTACAATCTGATACAGGTAATTCTTTGCACGAACTTCAGGTACACTTCTGGATCAAAAATCGATTAACAATGCATAATCGACTGGATAATCTTTTATGATGAATTACAAACCTTTTCCGAGTTTTCATCATATCATAAAGACTCATATCCATTAACTCAAACACCAGAGTTACTTTCCCTGTCAACGGGTCACTAAAAGAAAACATCAATGAGTCATAAAGCGTCAAATTTAATTACTTACTTAAATTGTTAACTTACAAATGGGATTCTAACATGTGGAGTATATTGGAATGTTTTGTGAGTTTGCGCATTGCGATCAATTCTGGCAGTTCTGATGCATGAGTTGCACTGGAAAAATCAGTATTAGCATAACAGTAAAATTTTTTGTTAAAAAAATAAATAAATCGACATACCTGCGAAAGGATTTTTTCAACTGTTTCGCAGCTATCATTAAACCTGAATGTTTGTCTTTGCATTTTAGAACTTCTGAGAAAGAACCTTCACCAATTTTACATTCTACTTTATACTCTAAAAACACAGATTTAACAAATAAATATATTTTTAAATCAAAGTATAATAATAAGTTTGAAATAATTATAAGTTTTTTAAAAGCTCAGACAGTTCATATATTAACAAAACTGTAATTTAGTGTCAATGCTATAAATACACATATTATATTATAATTTGTTGGCAGAAGATTTAAAATTTAATTTGACATTTATGATGTCATGGTATTTGTTTCAACCATTTTCTTAAGTCTTTAAAGTTTTGAGAAATGGCATGTATAACAAGAAATGACAAAAACTCGCTGAATATGACCATATTTTGACTTGTTACATTTTTAGAGAAATCAAAGATGTAATAATTTCAGGGGTGTCTACTGTACTGCACCCTTTGAGAGCTGTTGTATCCCTCGTTCTGAACTTAAAGCAAACCGATGAGCCCTAGTTCATCAAGATGTTTGGTTAGTAGTCCTGGTCTCCATTGAATTTCTTCTATGGTTACAACATACATCCCAAAGCACTTTCTTCTGCAGACACGTTTAGCACCAGAGTTTGTTAGTAGGCGTATTGGTGTCTCTTCTTCTTCCTTGCAGAATTTGCACCATATTAGAATATATCATTTCCTCAAATGTCTGTACAGTCGTGTTAAGAATCCTGTTAGGATTCAAAGTTTTTGTTTCCTTTGATGCCTTCTGTTGTTTCTTTCTAAACTTGCCAGGAGATTTTTGGATCGCTTGTTTCCAATGAGTGAATTCCACTACTTCCTCATTTTCATTTTGTTCTTTTATCTAAGGTACTCATTGATAGTGTGAATCCCTATACTACAGATAGGCTCAGAACCAATTAGAAATATAGCAGCCCTGTCTTTGGAAGAGTGTCTGCTCTTTCGTTGCCTTCTATTTCTACATGTCCTGGCACCCACAGAGAGTAATTCTTCATTTCATCTTTGAGCTAATGATGTATATTAATATTAATCCTTAGTGCTTTGATTGCTGCTTGGCTATCTACATGATAGATATATTCTTATTTTTGTACCCTTTGTTCAAATTGAACTGGTTTTACATGAACTTCAGCCTGAAAAATACTGCTGTATTTTTTCGTGAACCCAAAGCATTTGGTTTCAGGGGCAATCACTCCTCCGAAACTTCTTGCATTCCAGATTCATCAGCTTACCAGCAGATGATTTTTGTTTTATTCAAAAATCTTGTTCATGTCGTCTCGCTGTTTATCTTACCATTTAAGTTTTAATCTTGTTGGAGGCTTCTTTTCAGTGATATTAATACAACTTTTCTGTGCTGCCCACATTATAATATGGTGGAAGGGGATTAGTCGCAATATCTTTTTACCAGCTGTGGGAAATTTTCTCGCTCCGATTGTGCAAACACATGCAAGTCTCTGCATTTTTGCGAGTTATGTTTGTTTTGTTATCGGTTTGATTTTATCGCAGTATATGAGGATAAGTCTGACCATCATGATGTACATGTAAAGCATTTCTGGTCTACATGTCCAATTTTTACAATTCTTGTAATATTCACATTTTTGGTATAATGTCATCATACATGTTTGTACAATCTATACAATGTGTGCTGTGCATAATCCACATGTATTCTAAGCTTTACCAACATAAATGTGACAATACATATGGAATATAAGAAACAGCACATCCACAAAAAAGTAAACCGGTTCATTGAATGTGAACATATCTTTACGAATTATTTCGGCTTGTTTCATTTCAAAGGAATTTACCAGCATTGGTTTTAGATTTTTGTGGGGCCTGAGGTGTGATAAACTTGTGCTTTGGTCTAAACTTAACATAAAATTGTCTTGGAAGTGTATAATTATTTGTTTGTAGTCATTGTAATCATCAATTAGGTCATTGTTCACAAAAAGTAGAAGTTGTAAGAAATGGTAGTTGGTTGTTTTAACCGTTTTATTTACGTTTTAGTTATCTAATCATAGCTTTTTGTATTTGCACATAGAATATTCTATGTATATTAGTGTACAAATTGTTTGTTCATTGTGTGTTGTCTATAATACATATGTTACTTGAAATGTAATATTTTAAGAACTTTATTTTTTTAATGATTCATAAAATTTGAGCCTTCTATGATAAAGTTATTAGGAACAGGCTAGTCTGGTCAAAAATATACATAACACATGAAAACCAGAACTATGTTGCTGTAGAACAGGAAGTAAAGGACAAAAGCATGTGTTAGTTCAAATGGAATCTTCTGAATTTTACTTTAAATGAAGTCATTTATAAAGAATAAAAGATAAAATTAGGAAAACAGGCAATATAACGAAAAGTACGTCAAAATACGACGACCATTGATGGAATAACCAAAGCACGTTTTCATTTATGGCCCAAATGGTAAAACGCGTCGGCATAAAATAGTTGGCGTCGAAAGAACACAATTTAAAATGCTACGAAAGAAAACAAAACAATGTTTTTTTTTATAAAAACATTTGTTACAAAATTTTGCCTCCGATAAACGCATTGCAAACGTCTGAAAATTACAGGAATATAACTTGTACATACTTGTTCTGAAATTGGTTAACATATCTGCGCACGGCAACGAGTCTTCATATTCACATATCGGTTGTACATTTTGTTTTACACTTAAAGTAAATTACGAAAATTTTTAATAAAAACATCTAAAAATGAAGTTCGCAGTTACCATGGATAAAAGAGCCAAATCTATTTTCTAACTCCATTTCCATATGATATTTTTCTTCATCTTGCTCACAGTGGTGTTCTTCAAATTCCATCTCCTCTGGTATTTTTTATTCCAGACATAAAACCCTTTTAAAATCATTAAAAAAATATTCCAACCCTGGCTAGGCCCTTATCGTAATTTCAACACTTAGAAACCCAGGCAAAGGTCGTTTTGTGTTTTGTAAATAGTTAGGTTTAAACATTACGAAAAAACAAAAACAACAGTTTACACCTCATACTCATAATTATTAAAATAAATCAACTTAAAAAACTGCATAGATTTTATTTTCTTATTTATTTTAAAGATTTTTGAAATTATTATTATTAAAGCTATAAAGGGTCAATTGTCAAATAACCCTTTATACTGCAAAATTAATATTAATTGTGCTATTATGGTCAAAACAATATTTGTTTGTCTGAAAGAACCCAAAGAAACAAACAATCTATATTACAATGGAGATAATTCCATTTTTAATATAGTGCGGAATTATTTCCATATGTTTATGATTATTGGCTAAGTACTAATTATAAGCAAAAAAATTATTATATATTTCAGATTCCAAATTTTAAACACGTCAAGATCTGTACATTTTTTCTTATTTTAAAAAGTACTGCATCAAATTTAGTTTCAGATTTTTTGGATGAAAGCCGTTCGTGCCTTGATGACAGAGGGGCTTACGAAGTTTTGAGAGGAATTGACTCCGGCAAAGAGCAAGTTAAGAACGGGCATACGTGAAGCAGCGTTCTAATTTAAAGTTTTAATTAAAAATAACCAACAGTGGATTGGGTGGTTGGCCGACAGACCACTATTTTTTAATCTATCTTCAGGTAAATCAGACATAAAAGCTATATGTATTATTTTATCACGTTTAATCATTGTAAAATACTTATAAGGAAAGGTATGAAGTAGCCTTTTTTTTTTTAAATTACCCGTATGTTATTTTTAAAAAGCCATTTTCATATGAATAAAAGAATAGGACAGATAAGCCGTAACATTCACCGTATTTCCTAATCCTTCTGGTCTATAGATCAAAAAATAAAATTACGAAAATCTTCGAAAATTGGGCGTAATTTTTTAAGACCTGGTGAAACAGAAAGATCCGTTTGTTCAACAATCTCCACGTGTATGAATGGCCAGAATTTCTATCATCAAACATCTTGCTTTTCATTAACTTTTTGTTAAAAAATAAAAAAATTTTATAGTCAACTTATTTAAAAGAAACTATACTCGTTATTTACTATCTACTTAGAATATGATGAATGTACACTGACAGGCACAAAATTTCACCCAATTTTTTTTCATTTTCTCGATAAAAGAAAATTCTGCCTTTAATTTGTCTCATTGTTTTTATCAATAAATATTTGTTTATGCTATGTTTTAAATTGGGAATATCAATTATAGGTATCCAAACTTAATCCTTAATCCAAAACAAGGATAAAGAATTTTCAATGTTTAATTTTTACGGAATTTAAAATGTTTATTTAGTCTCATTTGAATTCTGAAGCAATAAACTGTTTCCTTTTTTCATCTTTGTTTTCTTAATTTCAATTTTTAAACTTAAAAATGCCACTTAGTGCTGGGGATGTTGCGCATGGTGTGACTTATTGATGATGGACGATCCATCAAGTATGCGGCTATTGCCACGAAGTTCCCTACGAAACACTGCGAGACGCCGTTAGACATTTTCGAGAAACTGGGTTTTACCATAAAAGGCCCGGTTCTGGACGCCCTAGGGTAACAGAACCACATGATCTGTTTTTTGGCTTTGAGAATTTTGCGAAACCGGCACCTTATTGTTGTTCAAGCGATTTATCAGCTCCAGGAAGTTCGACGTGTCCAAATTTATGAACGCACTGCTTAAATCAGTATGGACTGATGGCTTTTCGCCCCGTAAGAGGACCAGAATTGACCAGAACACTCGGAGTTGAGCACGGCTCGCATTTGCTCGAGAACACAGCCAATGGTACTGTACGTTTTACAGATGAGTGTAAATTTGCTCTACGATCTCCAGATGGGCGTGAAAGTGTGGGAGAAGGTGGAATGATGGCCACTCGTTATGTGAATGAAATTTTGTAACATCATGCTTTGCCTACCCTCGATGAGATCAGCGACACTGATGTTCTAATGCACGATAATGCCCGTCCACATGTCGCTCGCGTACAAACTTACCTTCAACAGCATAACAGATTCATAGCCTGGCCAGCCCGTTCTCCAGACTTGAACCCCATCGAACATTTATGGGAAAACCTTAAAAGACGAATAAGAGCACGTCCATCACTTCCTGATACACTACAGACTCCAGCAAAGAGACATTTCCAGACTGGTAGAAAGTATGCCGAGGCGTCTTCGAGATGTAATTAAGGGAAGAGAAGGAAATACGCGATATTGAAATGTTCATTAAAAATCTAGAACAAAATTAAAACAAATTTTAACTGTCCGTCTTAATCATTTTCCTTACAAATTTACTTTTTTTTTTTTTACTTTTTTAGATAAAGACTCCATTATTAAACATTAAAAAACGTGAAACTTTGATTAATATATAAAAATATATACAAATCAAGTTATATTACAAGTGGGCGGAATTTTTTGCCTGTCAACGTAAGTATATGTAATTTTCTTTTGGACTTGTTAGTTATATAATCTTTCATTTTTTAGGTGTAGAGGCCAATAGTGTTTAGTAAAAAGCAGAAAATACTTTTTAATATATGCCCCTGGCTTTACACCCAAAAATTACACACGATATTTAGGTATTTACTGTCAACGTTGAGATCACTGGCGATACGAAATTCTTCGATGTCATTTTAATTTTGGTCAGACAGAAAATTCAGTTTTTTACATTTATAATTTAATCGATTTTATTTAGATTTTGTACAAAAATAACTTATCAATAGTATTAAAAAGCTAGGATATACTATTGTCGAAGATTAACCAGCCTTGATATATGAAGTGTCATAGTTTTGTAAATTTGTGAGTGTAATAAGCAAAAACTAAACTAAGAATTGTGGTTCAGAAATTGGACAAAAGCAATGAGTTTTTATGGTAAATATATTGGCTAGTATATACAGTGGTTAATATCAAATTGTATAGAACAAAACATATTAGATAAAACTTTTTAAAATTTGTCTAAATTTATGTTGGGTTTTTTAAAACACAGACTTATTTTATAAATATTTAGATTATTTTGCTGATTATTTACAATTGCCATTTTTTTAATGTTCGGCGTTTATATTAGTCTTTAGCATATTTTTTTTATTGTATGCTGACAACAGTTAATATTTTCGAAATATAGACCGGCAGTGTTGGATGAGATCGTATAATTGTCCGAATAGTTTTCTTTGGATGGTTTCCTTTTTCGTCTGATTTCTTGTGTGGAGGTTCTTTTTGAGTAAGCTTTGTCTAATCCCAGATCCAGGGCGTGGAGACTCCCGGTTGAGAGCGAGCCGGAGGTCATTGTAGTACAGGCAATGTGGAGACTCTCGGAGAAAAGAGCGACAGGCCCCCGGAAGCCAGACGGCCTCCGGGTATCGATCAGGCGTTCCCGTCGTTCCGTTTATCCAGTCCTTTCAACTGTGGGAAATGATGATTTTTTTTAGCGATTTCACTCTACTGTAAATCCGGAAGATTAACTGCCTCTAAAAGTCAGAATTGGATGATCCGTCTTGTTGATATCCCTTGTAAAACTCCTGAACTATTATACCTTTCCAATTACGGATCTATTTTTGCACCTTTATAATTAGAAAGGAGCAGTTTAAACAGCAAAGGTTGATGCTTAAATAAATCCACATATTGGTTTATTTGCTTCAAATGAGGATAAGGCAAACAGATTCTTTGTCATGATCCAATTCTGTCCATTAGAGGCAAATAATCTTATAATGTTGAGAGTCATACTGTGACTATATATAAAAATTGTGAGCACGACAAAACAAAAGCGTTATTAAGTGCGAAACTGTACATTAATATTAATTAAAAACCTAGCTTCTGTGTTTAAAGCTAAATACTGCTCTTACAAACTAATTAGTAAATCCTCGGTGACGTTAATGTTATGAAAGATTCATGAACGTACCCGCAGTCGTGATCGCCGTCACCAATTTGTCTTTCGACCGTCCAAGGCAATAAAAGCTTAAAATTAGTTGTAAACTTTTTGTGACATTATTTACCGGAAGTTGTCTTTATTATTTGTATGCAATCCGCCAAAATACTTACTGTATTTTATTAGCCCAAGAATCTCCTCGTGATGGTCTGACGCCTTCGGCCATTTTTTGTCATTGTATGTTTGTGTAAAACATGTTTTGTATGCTTTACCCACTTATATTTACGGTTTTCTTGCTAAGTTGAAACTTTGGGGTTGTCGGGTCAGAAACTTCACCCTATGCCCAAATCTCAATTGAACTAGCGTTTGGGTGTGTACACTTTGAGCTTCATATTGTAAACATCTGTGTTAAGTAAATGTACATTTCTGAGGTAGGAACAGGAGGCAGTATCAGATCGTATAAACACGATCTTGGGGAAAATGGTCCAACATGGTATTGAGAACTGGACGTTATCTAAAGAACGTCTTTAGGTCGCCGGAGGGTGGGAAACAGTCAGTAGCAAAGCAGCTTTATAGAAATGACACAACCATTGAGCTACCACGAAAGCCTAACAATAGAAAAAGATCAGCTCCGGATATGACTTGGACGTCTTAGAGGATAACTTTGAGGTCCTCGAAGTCCACAGACTGTAGGATTGTTCCGCGTAATGAGTGAGGGAAACATAAAAGCTTTAAGCTTTGTTTCAAGCTATACTGGTTGTTGTCTACATATGATCAATGACATCTCGAAGTATGGAAGAAAAAGATGCAAAATTAATCGGTAATTTTATCCTCACCGATCTTCTTGGTCTGCCTATTATCGCTGGGTCGGTCTTCCAGACGCGTTTCGGCATTTCGACATCTTCAGTTGGTCTATTAGTGCTTATTTCGAGCAAACAAAGAAAACGCACCATATAAACAACTTAACAGAATCCAATTGAAGATCGCGAAATGCCAAAACGCGTCTGACAGATCAACCCAGCGACAATGGAAAATGATTGGTAAGATCACATTACAGGCTCATCACCCCCTGATCACATCATAAAATATCACAAAAGATCCGTGCGGTTAATGCAATGTGGCAAAGAAGGACTAGAACCACAAGGAGATGAGACATTTGTACAGTTCTTTGGAGTAAAGGTACATAAAAAGTTGAGATGCTACCTAGAAAATATTATCCAAAACGGTTTTTCTTTCATTTGAAAGGAGGAAAATATAAGGTGTATAAAGACCTACAAAGACCTTAGACTATTTAGAAGTCATTTAGGAGTCCACAATTGATAATGGATCGTTTTGGATAGGCCAACGAAGTAGAATAAAAAATAATGGAAAACAGAAGGAAGAACGAAATTCAAACTGGAACTTTGTCTCATTCCTGTTTGCAGCTATAAAGCAGTCATTTTCAAAAAAGCCGAAGCTCACCAGATTTTTTTCGAGGGAAGTGTAAGGAGGATAGATGCCGATCGGTCGCAAACAGTCCACAAGAGTTGGAACATTGGACATCTAAACTACACCTTATGATCACTTCAGAGTAGTTATAGGGAGGAGGTGAGAAAATAACATAGTATTGCTATAAGACCATCGGGAAAGCCGAGTTCCGGGTTCTAAATGTGTCCTTTCGCGAGGAATCTCGATTTCCAGCTGACTGGAACTTGTTAAGGATGTGTTCCTAATGCAGAGAACATCAGAATTTCCTCTGGGAAGACTACTACAAACTATTTGTGTTTGTTGAAGTTGTAAACTTCCAGACATCTACTCGGACAATGGACATGTGTTTACCATGGAGCTCAACGTTGTTCCTTCACCGCCCAATAAAGGTGATTTAGGCTAAAATTTAAAAAAAAACACGCTTTAAGACTCGAGCCAAATGAAAATATCGAGCAAACTATTAAAACTGCGCGTGTGGGTAGTTTAAATTGTAACTATCAGTTGGACTAACTGGCATGTCGGCATGTTAGTTATCGTTAGTGAGCTTGTTCTGAACATGATTGGGTTAGTCTGGAGAAATCTGTGCAATTTGTGAATGAATCCCATCACCTAGTACCTCTGTGGCCTGACCACCGGCCACTGGGGCGTACTCGCTGGGTGGTGAAGCAGCGAAAAGTGTGGCGTACAGGACAGCCGCGACGACACCCCCAAGAATGGGGCCGAGCCAGTAAACCTAAAAAATTATATTTAAATCTAAAAAAATATATATTTAAAATACAGTTTGGTGACAAAAACTTAAATCCAGCTGATAAGGCAATCATATTTCAAGTGTAAAATATGTCTCTTATTTCTCTTGTTTGTACATTTGTAAGTAATTAAAAAATAATGTTATTATTAGCTTAAAACGTATGAAGTTAATTTCAAATGGTCTGCTTAAAATCAGTTTAATAAAACAAAATCGACATACCCAGTGATCATCCCAGTTGCCTGATAGAACTGCTGACCCCAAACTCCTTGCAGGATTCATGCTCGATCCTGTATAATCAATCTTTAAAAAAAATTAACTTTTGTTCTTGGTAATTGACTACAAACTAGTCGACTTACTGAAGAAAGGTGACCGACGGCTACAGCAAGTCCGATAGCCAGAGGTGCTGTGAATTTACAGTCGGGCTTATGGGGATCGATGACTCCGAAAACAGTCAAGACGAGGAGGAAACCGAGCATGAACTCAACCCCGAGACCTTGCTGTGCCGTCATGTCCTTACCCAAAGCTGTTGTGCCAAGAGTTGCTCTGAAACTATCTGGTGTGAAGCCCTAAAATATAATCCCAGTGTAACGATTATTATTCGTTCCAGCAAGAGGAAGAGGTTCAAAATTTAGTTGACTATTTGCCAGCAATTTGATCGTCCCTTATCATCCTGATCTGCCTATTTTCGGTGAATGTGTCGGTCCGATTTGTTTTGCCATTTTGTAATTTTGAGCGGCTGATAACGTGTCTCTTGTATCTCGAGACATGCGAATAATATCTGAAGATGGCTGAATGCCTAAACACGTCTGACGGACACGTACAGCGAGGGCAGGCAGACCAGGATATTGGTGATGATCAAACTTCATAACTTTTATTCAAGATACTCACCTTAAGTATAGCAGCTCCGGCAACTGCCCCGACACATTGGGCAAGTATGTACAGCAATGCGCGTACTACCGTGACCCTGCCTGTAATGAGCAGGCCGCATGTGACAGCAGGGTTCAGATTCGCCCCGGAAACGTGACCTAAAACCTGTGCAAATTGGTCAGCTTCGTTTTCAGTTTCGTACTGCACTACGGCATACCTGAACGGACACAGCGACGACGAATCCGAAAGCCAGGGATATAAGGACCAGGTCGGTCGTCCCTGGGTTTTCTTGAATGTTTAGGCAGGACATGCAGCCGAAGTAAGTTATAAAGAGTGTACCGATGGCTTCGGCCACTACTGCTTTACCGAGATCACGGGCTCTGGCCATTTCGCCCATCCCGAGGATGGTTTTCAGAGTGCTTTCTTTATCCGGCATTCTGTAAAATTACAAAAAAAAACTTTTTTAACAAATAAAATACATCTTCAGCCTTTTAAGGTAAAATGGCAAAAAGGGGGGTAAATTCGAAAGGTTGTAGGTTGAGATGGGGAGTTGGTGTCCGAGTGGATCGACGTCACGATAGCGCTCAAGTGGTTAGAGCAGTAGGTAGCGTATTGAGCAGAAGGTCGTGGGTTCGAATCCCGCTCGTAACACTAGCTTTTTCATATCAACCAGACCTTACATAAAAAGATTGATCTTTTAATGTACATGATCTACTACACATCTGTGAATTGCATATAAGTGTAAGAAATTGTTATCAATGCAAAATGGTATAATGTTATAAAACTTGATATTGAGCTTTTAGATTTCTGTTTTTAGCCAAGTCATTGATTCTGTGGCACTAACGTCTATTCAGGTTGTTTCAGTCAACTAATTTTTCAACTACTTCAAACTACCAAGTGGCTTCATGTTTACTTCCTGGTGATAATGACCACATTTGTATAGACAAGTGAGTCTTGATGCTAAGCCTAACTGCTAGCCTAAAAGCCTGCTAATAAGTTTTTAATATATAAAATGCTTTTAAAACTGTTGTGTTTATTTCTAGACGAATTACAACTTTCTCAACAAACCACACGTTAGCTTAAAGAACTTGAGAAAAACATCGGTATTTTTGGTTTAAAGGCAAGGAAAACCTTCAACTTCGTCCAGGTCTCTTGATTTTTAGGCATTTCGCCATCATCAGTTGTTGTTTTTTTGTATGCTGTGAGCTTTTTATAGGTTTGTTAAAAGGGATTTCATTCAAGGTTTTGGTTGTTCTAAAACGAATCGCAACTTTGATCTTTTTTTAACAAACCAACAACCGTTAAGCTGTGAGTTAAATCTGAACAACCAGATACACCAAGGGGCGATAGCTTTGCTAAAACAGCTTTAGCATTCCCTAGAATTAGGATGCGTGGATTTAACTTCACGCCTGTTCCTGTAGTCTGGCGATAACTTCAAAAATATATTCAATCCCAATTATATGGGATATCAAGGAAGAGCAGGAAAATCTGACAAATCCAGTTTTGTATAAAATAATTGTAAATTCAAAATTTCGAGATGTGCCTTACTCTGCTTATCTCCCTGATATCCATTGAAGATAGCCAAATGTCAAAACACAGCATAGACCAGACCGATCGGAAACGACCTCAGATCTCCAGCAGTGTCCTCCATCAAACTGCAAACTATTATCTTACTATTATGCAAAACACAAATATTACGCCAAACTACTGATAAAATTAATTGATCATGAACAAAATCCAAGAGACTTTCAGGTGCATCAGGAGTTTCCCAAACTGTAAAACGGTACTTCGGAGGCAAACCTCGCGAATATTTTGAAAACTCTTTTCTGATTTTGGTTTTTATGAACAATCAGAGTTGGTGGAATATACATAGCAACAGTACTAAAACCCAGAGGTAAGCTTTGCCTACGCGACTGGCTGTACCGAGGTAAAAAAGAAAATCTGTGCATTTCATGAAATAATCCATTTTTCAACAGATATGTGATGATGAGTATGTAACTTCAGAATTTATCTTGAGTTGAGACGTTTCATGTTAAATAAAGACCCGGTAAAGTAAAGAGACGGCAAGGGGTATTAAAAATTAAAGAACTTGAATTACAAATTCTCTTTTACCCGGTATAAAAAGACCTCTATTTTCCGTACCACTTATCCCGGTGCTCGGCTGGCTTTTACAAGGCTAAGCGTTCAATAAAGTTAAACGAAAGCCAGTTTTTCTGCCTATAAAGACTTTATAACCATAAGAAATGAATCGATAGATAAACAGAAGAGATAGGCGTGTCAAGTAGACCGTTCGGCATCGCAGATGTGCACGGCATGTCGAGCATAACGTCAGACAGAAGGGGCAAACCGTCGTTATAAAAAGTAAAGCGATTCTTTATATTCTACGGTTATAGTAGAACCAAAGAGAGCCCGTGCTCGGTTGGAAGGCCTCCAAATGTTTGATAACACGATTTGAATATTCATTACCGCAAGGCTGTTGACTCGGGGAGGCCGAAACAATTTCATCGAGGCGAAGATAACAAAATATTCTAATGAAGATTCTCTTAATATTGATCTGTGCTTAAAATAATATTGTTCTATTGATTAAATGCTAGTTTATTAAAATGTAAAAAAAAAGCCGAACAAATTTTATGGGTTTGAATGTCGATTTATTCCCTTACAGCTCTAAATGTAATACACAAATTGCAATCGATTGTATTTTTTTAAGCTCAGCCGTTCCAATATCTTTAATCGTTTATCAATCACTATCCTCAATAACCTTTCACAGGTCAATCGTGTTTTGGCGTGCCGTACTCGACCGATTTGTCAACAGAGAAACAATTCCCCGATATAAACACCAGTTGCCCCAATGGCAAAAAGTAACGAATCGTTTTTACATTTTATGTACTAAAGCATACATTATATATATAGATATAAGCATCGCTCAAGGGGCCTTTTCTTCTTACATTCCCAATTAAAGCGGGTGTCCCCCAGGGCAGTCTCCTAGGACCCTTTCTAGTCACTGTATACTCAATTAAATTCCACTTTTTCTGATGCCTGTCATTTCCTGGTCGCTCCTGTCTAGTCATAACACCCAACTTCATTTAAACTTTATCCAGTCTTGGTCTCGCAAATGTAGAATAAAATTTAACGATTTAAAATCCACCCACAAATTCTTTACGCTCCGAAAATCCACTCCATCTGTCTCAGTGGAAAACCCATTCGAACCTCATATTTTGTACCCTACCTGGGACATTGACAAAAGACCAACGTGGAAACCCCTGGACTGAAAAGACATAAAACTAACCGATGTTACAAATTACTCCTTAGATTACTTGACCGTAGATCAAACTTACACCTTATTACATACCATCAACGCTTGTGTCCTGGAAAATCTTAAAAGAGGTTACATTGACAAAAAAATCCTCATAAGATCAGACAGTCAAGCAGCTATTAAAGCATTGGCATATAAAAGAATTACATCAAAACTAGTCAGTGAATGTATCCAAAATCTCCAAAACCTGGGAAAACACAACAACCTGATGATATCTTGGGTGTCAGGGCACAGGGGAATGCTGGGTAACGAAGAGGCGGACAAACTGGCCAGAAGAGGATCTGCAAGACCATACATAGGCCCCGAACCTATCCTTGGGATAACAAAAACAAACATAGAATCCTCCATCGCAGAATGGATCCAAACAAAACAAAGAGAGAAGTGGATAAACTCTAGCGGTGCTAGACATAGTAAACTTATGCTGAAACAACCCTCACCAAAATTGGCAAAAACACTGCTGCAATTGGAGAGGGCAAAACTCAGAGGAGTGGTGGGACTACTAACCGGTCACTGGTATCTGAGAAAACATCTATACAACATGGGTATATACAGCGATGACCCCATTTGCAGATTATGTAATGAGGAGGAGGAAACAGCCACTCATATCATCTTCGAGTGCGAAGCAACAGCTCAATGGAGGTTTAACCTAACATACGAAAAAGACTCAGGGAACCAAGTTGCAGCAATAACAGTCAATGACCTGATACTTCTGAGAAGAAGGATTGAGTCTATTGACTAAACTAGGGAACTGGGAAGGTACAATAAGCCAGAAGGCTGCAGTGCCTGGGGAATACAAGCCCCGCCTCCCGGCATCCCTTCCACCATACCATACCATACACCTTATTAACAAACTCTCCATTTACAAAGCTCTCCTGAAACCGATATACGGAATTGAAGTTTGGGGTTCAACAAAAAAATCGAATTCCTACAAAATGCAAACCATCCAATTAAAAATAGCAAACTGTCTGTACGTTTCAAATCTAACAATCCAAAATGACCTCCAAATCCCATTTGTAATAGACATTATTAAATCCCGATACAAAAACTTCCACCATTAAACCTTCACCCTAATCCACTTGTCCAACACCTTTCATGTCCCATCATTCCTGGAAATCCAACACGTCGTGTAAAGCGGTTGTGGCCGAGAGATCTCTTGAGACATTGATTGACTCAATGTGACACGAGTCATTGCTTGGAGACTTCTCTTATGAAGTGTAATTTGGTACATGGTCATTGTGTCTGACATCTCATTTGCTTGTTGCGACTAAAAATCGGGAAAATTTTACACGAATGGGACATCATGATAAATAAAAAGCTATAAACAAGTTTAACACGAATGTTAACAACCTAAGAAGAAACTGATCCAAGCGATATAAGATTCACACTTGGCAAGAAGAGGCACAAGTTATTAATATCTATAGCTACTTTAATAATATAACGACGAGAGGTAGGCTAAGAATATGATACAGTTTTAATATAAAAATCATAGTATTTAAAAAAATCTTAATATGTGCTTCTTGAGAACGTGCCTTCTTGAAAATCTTGAAAACCAAAGATTGGAAAGAATATTTCCCATATTTTAAAACGTCTCTTGACCAATATCGGTAATCGTTTGGAAAACCCTCCATTTGGTCCAGATCGGCTGATGGTTGTTGGGAGTCTGTGAAACCATAAGGACCAGAAACAGAAGAGCATCACGATCTATCAAAAAAATTATTCTCGAACGTTCAGGCCTTTTAATTTATTTTCTGACACTTCAAGTGTTATCGGTTAAAAACGCCAATAATAAACCACCCTGGTCAGTGTTAAATGATAATAAACATTTAGTACATTTAGTCAGTCTACAATCTGTACTCACTTGAAACTTGCCTTTCTCAATTTAAAACTGATAAAGAGGCCTCATTTCTTTTTTGCCACTTTTTTATTTGAAAAGCCAAGATAAAAAGGCCCATTTATTCCAATTTAAGTTTATCTATCCTTAAAATAATGGTATATTTTGAATTTAAACTGTTCCATTATATAATGATACAAGGAGCATAACCGCTGTTAACCAAGTCGATTGTTCTGCATTGAAAATTTTACAATTTACGTGAAGTTTTTTTTTATTCGCATTACGTGTTCCTT